CAAGTTATAATAAGAATGGATGATAGATATCTCTTATAGGTTATATAATTCAAAAATACACACTAATAAATGTAAAAGCTTTAACAGAAATTACAATTTTCTACCAAAATTTGAAAACTAGTTCCATAAGAATAAAGGATCTAAAGATACTGTTAACTTAAGAGGTTGTGATAATTATCTCACAGACAAGCCGGCTTCACTTGATAGATGTAATCGTGAATTGTTTCAATTATAAAGGAATAGATTGTTCCATATTACATACATTGTTACAAATCATAGGAAAAAATACAAAAACCACTAGTTTATTCTACAAGGCAAAAAATAGCCCTGGCCCTCTTGCCTGTTTCTGAATTGGTTTTTAACTATAAAAAACTTAAGTTAATAATGAAGTTGTTGGCTGGGGTGTGGCTTAGTGGGGAGTTCTTGTCTTGCGTGCGCAAGGCCCTGGGTTCAATCCCCAGCACCATAAAAAAAATTGAATAAAATTACTGCCTTTAAAAAAAATAATGAAGTTAAACTCTTAATTAAAATAACAGTTCACATATTTAAACCTTACCTGAGAGCTCATCACTGCCTACAGAGCAACAATATCTGCTTACGAGGCAGCTTCCGAAACCCCCCTTCATCACCGGGGGCCATGTGACTGGGCAGGTACCCAGCACACCAGTAAGCAGAGGTAAGCAGACAGTGCTTCTAAGGGGCTGTCAGAGTGTGGCACATAATGAGCGTTCAGCACAGGGTCATTGTACTTCTCCTTGTGAGGCTCTTGGCTGCAGAAGGGTCCAGTATGAGGCTCCGAGCACAGTGACCTTCAGGGGTGAAAGCAGGGGAGGCGAAGTTGCCTAGAAATAAACTGAAAAAAAAAAAAACATAGAAACCACAATCATAGAAATAAAATGACCAGAATATTTAGATAAATGTAGAATTACTAACGTGTGTTTTTAAATAATTGATAGTAGAATTTTTTTTTTTTTTTTTGGTTTTTTTCCAGTACCAGGAATCGAACTCACGACCTCGTGCTTGCCAGGCAGGCGCTGTGCCACTGAGCTAAATCCCCAGCCCCGACAGTAGAATTTAAATAGCACAAATAATTTGGCATAAAGACACTGACCTTCTAAAATATAATAAAAGATTTTTTTTATTTTCCAAGTGACAAGGTAAATAGGATGTCAACATCATTATAATTACAGAATAATAAAAATAATGTTTACAGTCTCATAGTGAAAGGCATAGTGTTGATTACATCAAAAGGCAAAATGTAGGGAATAAAGCCCAATAGTAGCACAGTGCCTAGCATGCGCAAGGCCCTGGCTTCTGTCCCCAGTGCCACAAGAAAAAAAGAAAAGGGAGGTAGAATCTAGCAATAAGCAGTATCCCAAAGTGTTACTTTTAAAAGCTCACAAACTATAGAAGTAAAAGTACAAAGATGCTTGTTATAGCAGTATAGAAATCAACATAGATGCAAATCTCTCCAAAACCAAAAGGAAGAGTGGTTTTACTATCCAAGGTGGGGAAATGACGAAGGAAATTAGAGTAAATGCACTTTAAGTCGTTAAATGTCATCATCCTGGAGTACTAGCTCCTCTCTTGATGTGGTGCCGGTACTAGGAGTAGAAGTAAATGAGATGCGGTCATTGATCTCCTGACATTCACAGCCTGTGGGGCTGGAGACACATCTTACCCAGGGATGTGTGGTGCATGCTGGCAGCAGCCAGAGAAGGTCAAGGAGAGGCGGGAAGGTGTCCAAGGCCAGAGCTGGCCAGGGTGGGGAGCATGACCTGAATTATAAGGAGCATCATGGCACACATGAAGAAAGGGGAGCAGGGACTGCACCGGCGAAGGCACATTCATTACCTGGCACACACAGGTGCTCTGTAAATGGCTGTGATTGTTTCTCATGAAGTAGGGACAGTAGCATCACCAAGGGGGGGGGGCAGTCAAGAGCTGTTCAGGAAACATGTTGGGAGCCATTGCAGACTCCAGGGTATACACGCATGGGTAGGTGGGTGTGGAATGGTGCTGACAGTTCAAGCAGAGACTGGGAGAGATGGCTTTTATGAGGGAAAATGACTTCATTTTAGGGTATTACTGACATTAAAATAGCTTTGGGACATCAGGTAAGGAAGCCCCTAACCTGACTAGGGTGGAGTGCTAGGGAACATCTGGGTCTCAACTGAGGGCATCTGGAGCAGCAGCTGCATTTGAGAGCGGGTGAAGACCAAGGAAGCCCCTGAGTTGGGAAGGCAGCAGGAGAGAGCTGTGGAAGGACAGCCGCACCTGCTGCCAGCAGTATGTGAGAATGGGCCAGGCCGAGAAGCAGCTGCTGGACGGGGCACATGAGCTGCTGTTAACTTCACAGTGTGTCATTTTGGATCTTGAGTTATTAAAAGAAATTTGAAATCTAAAAAGTGGTCAGAGGCAGGAGTGTGGCCAGTGTGTCCATTGTTTTAATCAGGGCTATGATTTTCTCACAAGCCTCTCCATTGTTCTGCAGAAGCTGGCCTCGGACCCGCGATGTAAAGGGATGCCCCTCTCTAGCTTCCTGCTGAAGCCCATGCAGAGGATCACCCGCTACCCGCTGCTCATCAGAAGTGTGAGTGCTCAGGCTGGCAGTCCCCATTTGACAAGGAGCAGGACCCGTACCTCACACACAGGCCAGGGACTCAGGGAGCTCCTGGGTGCCAACCCAGCCTTGCACCCCAGTGCCCTGTGGTCCAGGCTTCTGTGTGTGTGTGTGTGTGTGTGTGTGTGTGTGTGTGTATGTGTGTGTGTGTGTGTGTATACATGCACAGGAATGTGCATATAGTCTACAAGGTTGAAGCCTTTAAGGGGCAAAATAAAGGAGGGATCTGATGTCCCTTGATAGCCTGCCATGGTTCTTCCCAGAAACTACCCCAAGATCCACTGTCACGGTGCATTTTTGGGCAAGGTCATGGCCCCTGTAGGTTTGCAGCTGTGGAAGCTGTCTAGACCCCAGGGATAGGGATACCGTGGAGTTCCCAGCATAGCCTGGGCTCCTGTCTGTCTGCTGAGATCCACATTCACATGTCACCTGAGTGCCTTGACCCAGGTGTCCCAAGGGTCCCCAACTCAGCATGTTCTCCCGAGCTCAGGGCTCCTCAACATATCCCACTTCAGCTCATTGATGGACCATCCGTCCATGCCTGTTCTTTTTGACATAGCTGTGTGGGCATCCCAAGGCAATACAAACTACTGATAAAATTTACAATGAAAAACAGGAACAATTTAAAATTATTGATTATTCCTTGACTTTTGGTCTATAAGCTATATGAACTCAGCACATACCCCATGTTACAGAAGCCTATGCCAGACTGACCCACTAGTACAGATCCCAGTCCCTTCATTAAAACATCGGGCCAGACGTGTTTCAGAATTTAGAACACAGGGGCTGGGGATTTGCTCAGTGGCACAGCGCCTGCCTGGCAAATGCAAGGTCGTGAGTTCGATTCCCGGTACCAGAGAAAAACCAAAAACCAAAAACAATTTAGAATGCAATTTAAGTCCCGTATATTTATGACACCCAAGCACTTATCTCAATATAACAACCAAACAGTAATATTCCTAAAGTGAAATGTGAACAAATACATCTCTTGTGTTTAGGTCAGGTGTTGCCACTGAGTACTGAATAAAAACGTGAAGCTTTCAGGTTTTTTTTTTTTTTTTTTTTTGCATTTTTCATTGTAAATAAGGACTGTGGAGCTGTTAGGCTACAGTGCGAAAGCCCAGACAGAAGGACCACATGGGTTGTGTTCTGGCCTTTGTTTACCTGTCACATTAGTACTTTGGAATCACTTCAGAACGAACTAAATGCATGTTTCCTACATGCTAGTGATGTTATTTTATTGTATATCTTCTGTGGCAGGAGAATCATTGCTTTCATCAGATTTTTTCAGCAAGTTAACATATTTGTCAAAATTGCAGCCAGTTTGTACTGAAAGGCTCAACCTGAAGGTCCATGACTTCAGTTGCTGGGATAAAGGGAGGCATCCTTTACTCTAAGGCTGATTACCAGGGCCCAGTGAGAGAGCAGCAGATACATAGAGCACTTGTCACCCGTGTTCCGCTGCATTACCTGTTCCGGGCCTGGCTCCACACAGGTGTGAGCCGTCAGTAAAGGCCAGGTGGCCGATGTGGTTGAAAGGCAATGTGCCTCTCATGTGACACCTGTGCTGTCTCCCAGATTCTGGAGAATACCCCGGAGAGTCATGTGGACCATTCCTCCCTGAAGCTGGCCCTCGAGCGGGCTGAGGAGCTTTGCTCTCAAGTGAACGAAGGAGTTCGGGAAAAGGAAAATTCAGACCGACTGGAGTGGATCCAGACGCATGTGCAGTGTGAAGGTCTCGCAGAGGTGAGGCCCATGCTGATCCCGGGTGGGCTCCAGCTTCACAGCTCCCGTATGTACAGTCCACACCTTGCTCAGCCTGTGCGTGCTCCTGGTCCCGCCCTACACAGACACTCCTTGGATTGTCACTTTTCTGGCTGGTAAAGAGACAGTTTGGGGGTTTTGTTTTGAATTAAGCTAGTAAAATCAATAGTCTGTGGATATAAGTATCAGTCTCCACCAGGCCACTTGGAACAAAGGTGACTTGATTCCAGCCACATTCTCATCTATGAGATTCTGCCATAGAACCCTCAGGCCCAGGCCCTGGCCTCTCAGGAGGAATGCTGGGATGATTGGTGCTGGAACTTACAAAGGGACATTCTCTTTCTTGTTCAGCAACTTATTTTCAATTCCCTCACCAACTGCCTGGGCCCCCGGAAGCTTTTGCACAGTGGGAAATTATACAAGACCAAGAGCAATAAGGAGCTGCACGGATTTCTCTTCAATGACTTCCTGCTTCTCACCTACATGGTTAAGCAGTTTGCTGTTTCCTCTGGGTCTGAGAAGCTTTTCAACTCCAAGTCCAACGCTCAGTTCAAAATGTATAAAACAGTGAGTACTGTGAGCCCCGCTGAGGACTTCCTCCCCTCTGAGCCCATCCTGTCCTCGTGGACTCCACACCTGTCCCAGGTGGCCCATGCTTCCTTCGCCACGTTGCCAGGGAGGGGCCCCCAGCCCAGCCCACCCCCCTTGTGCTGGTGGCAGCAGGACCGGTTTTGGATTTGGGCTCCTCCAGGCAATCGTGGCCCCTGGTCCCCCTCTGCCCACACCCAGCACTGGGCCCTCTGTATCCCAGCCTGACAAGACCAGAGCAGAGCGCCTTCCCGGCTCAACACCTACTCCAGCCCGTGCTGACCTTTGCAAAAAGGAGACCTCAGACCCAGCGCCCCCGCCCCGCCTGCTGCAGCACAACTCTCTGGACACCGGTGGGCAGAGCAGTCTGGCCCATCTCACAGCCTGTGTTCTGGCCCTAATTCTTTCAGCCTATTTTCCTGAACGAAGTCTTGGTGAAACTGCCTACAGACCCTTCCAGCGATGAGCCCGTCTTCCACATCTCCCACATTGATCGGGTCTACACCCTCCGAACAGAGAACATTAACGAGAGGTCAGTCCTGACTATGCGTGGCCTGCCTTAAAATCTAGGAGAAATCCCAAACATCTCCCTCTGCCCTAACCCGTCTCTGCCCCTGCTCGAGTCCTACTGACTGGGCACCCCCTCTATGTGTCCTCTGCACCAGCCCCACAGTAGCACACAGCTGCACTGACTCGCACAGCTGCCTCCTAACACATTTCCCACTTCCAGACCCTCCCCACTCCTCAGAGCTCCCCAGGTGGTAGACCCAATACCGTGCACCCCAGTACAGTGCCCCCAGGGCTGCTCACAGGCAGCAGTCCTCGTCCTCTGCTGGTGTCTGAGGCCCATCCCACACCACTCAACCTGGCCCTCTACCGGGGCCAGTGCTCTGCTGGCCGTGCCTCCATCCAGGGGCTCCCACAGGGGGAGCTCCTACCCGTCTCACGGATCGAAGCCCCTGGTGCTGAGCTGTGATCAGTGCCCTTAATGTATCTTCTGGCTCTGGGTCCCCAGCACCTTGCAAGGACCTTGTGGGTTCTATAAGTGGTCAAGAACTGGATTTAGATAGCCTCAGCTCTTCCTCAATTAGCAGTCTAGGCTTCCGCTTGAACTAATGTTAAGCATGTGACGGGAAACTTGCTAAAGCTGAGGTTCACCAGAGAAGGGAGTGAGGAGCTGGGGGTGGGAGTGCAGCCGTGCAGGGCCTGAGGAGTCTCCCGAGGCGGCTTTGCTTCTCTCCAGGACGGCCTGGGTCCAGAAGATCAAGGCAGCCTCTGAGCAGTACATTGACACAGAGAAGAAGAAACGAGAGAAGGCCTATCAAGGTACCGGGGTTCCCTGGGGGGGCTGGAGCAGCTGCGGTGGGCCATCAGGGGGGTCTGCCCTACAGAAACCCCTGCTGAGGGTTTCAGTCTAAGAGTTTACAGTTACTGAAACCCATGATGAGGGTATCAGTCTAACCCACCTGGCAGTATGGCACACGATGCAAAAGAAAGACAAAGAGAAAAGTTCTGTAGTTGAGCTCTGGGATGACCAATGTTTTCTGTGGCACAAAGGCCTCATCTCCAAAAGGCCATGGCTTTTATTGTTATCCATCAGGGAGGTGGGTGCGGGTCCCAGCAGAGTGCATAAGGAAAAGAAACTTTGTAGCAGGACTAGGCACAGAGACCTCCAGTTAGCAATGCACAGATAGTTTTAATGTGTGCAAGGCTGGCACCTTTGCTGCCAGGAACAATTGTTTCGGTATAGCCAGCTGTCCATAACTCAGTACACAGGGTGAAGCAGAGGTCAGGGACAGCTTGTGGCAAGGGCTTCGTTTCTCAGGAGACAGCAGCATGGTGGTCTCCCACACTGCCCAAGGGACCCCGGTGCCTGCCCTGAGGGCGCCAGGGAGAGGCCCTTGGGTCCTGCCACACAGCCTAGTGCCGCCCCTCTTGCTGCACTGTTCCAGACCTCCCCAATCACCCCCAACGCAGCTGGAGATCCAGCTCCAGCACCTCCCTTCTCTGTCCCTGACCCTTCACTCCGCTTAGTTCAGAATAATCTCACCCCTGTCGGGTCTATCTTGCTCCATCGACTCCACTTCCCGGGCTGGGAACACGCTGCTCCTCCTCCTGCAGCTGCCTCTGCCCTCTCTCCTTCCGACTGGGCTCCTGGCCCTGCATCCGTGCCTCCTCCACCCACCACCCCAGCCCTCGCCTCACCAGCCTTCATGCATCCACCCCATCGCCATGGAAATGGCTCTGTCAAGGGCACTAGTGACCCGACCCGGGGCCGTGGCCCTCGCCCAGCCTGGGCTCCGGCTGCTCCTTCTGCCTCTGGACCTGACCTGATCATCTGACTTCATCTCCCTTCCCTGCTCTTCCTCTTCCCCCTTTACTGGGAATTCTGCCGCACCCTCTCCCGCTGCTCCCGCAGCTCCCTCCTCCTGCTCAGGCCAGCCTGGCAGCACCCCTCCCCTGACATCCTGGCCCACCGGCCTCCTCCCAGCCAAGGCTGGAAGCGGTGTCCTCCACCAGCCTCCTCCCTCCTCTCCCGGCGTGCCGGGCCTTTCCTCTTTGCACAGCCTACCACTTCATTTCTGGAGTGTTCTTTGTATAGAGCTGCGGCTCTCTTGAGATCCCTCTCCTTGCTTAAGTTCTTCCCTGTTGCCTCCCAAATGAAGGACAGATTTCTTACCGGAAGTAATCCCAGCATTGCTGTTTCTCATGCCGACTGCCCCCAGGGCAGGTGCCTGTCAAGCTAGTCCACAGCAGTCTCCCCGCAACACACCCCCCAGAATTCTTCCGTTCTGCGTCTGAGTCGGACACTGCCTCCTCTTTGTCACCCTCCCCGATGCCTGAGCAGCATGACGTCCACCTGGCGGCCCTGCTGGGCTTCAGTCTGCATCATACTCACCTGCCACCCTTGGACCCTCTGCCCAGAACTGCCACCCACCCCACCCCATTTCGCACCTACTAGACAGCCTCCCCCAGCAGAGGGTCTCCCAGCCGCCTCCCCTATCCCTGCTGCCCACCCCAGTCCTGCAGGGGCTGCTGGCTGCTGTATCTGCAGCTCTTTAAATGTTTTTTCTTCAGGTTTCTCTTGTATTGTTCTGTATTCCTGAAAGGTGTGTGTAAATCAACTTCTGCTAGCTGAGTGTTATTCAAATGATACTTTAAAAGCCTCCTATTGAAAATCAGTGATTGAATCATTTCTTTTTTTTGGGGGGGGGACCGGTAATCGAACTCAGGACCTTGCACTTGCCAGGCAGGTGCTTATGCCACTGAGCTATATCCCTGGCCCAGTTGGATCATTTCATAACGAGTATATGATCTCCTAATTGGTCAAACATATAAATCAAAGTTTTTTCCATGCATTTTGCTTCCATCATTATGAGTGTGCATATTCTGCATTGCCCATATGTTCAATTCTGTGCATTTATTGACTGCCTGCTGTGTGCCGAGCTCAGTGCTTCAGGGAACTGGGCTACAGAGACAGTGAGTCCCAGCCCTGCCTTGAGGGAAACTGAGGCTTATTCAGAAATGGGGCTGTGGGCACAAAGGCTGTGTGCTTGGAACTGGTAACATTCACAGCTCCCTGAGCGTCTCTCCTTACCCTGCTTAACTAAACTTTACCAAGTCAGTGTGAGCGTCTGACTCATTTCTGTCTATACTGAAAGCACTTCAGGTGCCTCCTTAAATAGAACAAGAGCCTAAATAAAACTGCCTTCTAAGTTGAAATGTTTACTTAAATGTGACTGAAAGTTTGATGAATGGTTTGGACTTCAGTATCTGATGTTTACATTTTGAACCTGCCATTTAAAAGCTCTGTGTTGAGCACATTATGGTCCTTTCTAGCCTGTTTTTCTCTTCCATGAAATGGGGAACTATCTTACAAGGTGATTATGCAATTTAAATATTATTTATGTAAGCTGGGCATGGTGGTGCATGCCTATGATGCCAGCATTCAGGAAGCTGAGGCAGGAGGATCACTGTGAGTTCAAGCCAGCCTGGGCTACATAGTGAGTTGAAGGCAGCCTGTAATACAAAAAGACCCTGTCTCAAAAAAAAAAAAAAAAAGGCAAATAAATAAATAATTTTAAGAAATATTTATGTAAAAGTAGCATATGTCTAGCACATTGTGTCCTGTGAATGTTATTTGCTAGAAAGTGATTAGCAGGTATCATGTAGCATTTTTTAAATACTACTATTTGCTCAGCAATTGAGGGGTTAACACAGTGATGACTAAAACCGTCCCTAAACTGCCCTGGCTCCTCTCCAGCCAAGGTGACTCATTACAGAACATTTCAGGCCCTGCGGGGAGTAGGCTCTTGAAAGTCAAGGGTAGTAGACACACAGAGGAGAAAGCACCCTGGGCACTGGCTGTGCACTTGACCTGGGGAGTAGGTTGCTGATGGGCAGAGATGGCAAGCCGATGGCACAGCCTGGGGAAAGGCACCAGGCAGCCAGGGAATGGACAGTTGGGTCCAGTGCAGTGGCAGATGAGGCTGTCATGTTTTCTTAGACAGACACAACAGGCTCTGAGAGCGGGGGGTGTAGCTTAGTGGTAGGGAATGCTCTTAGCAGGCAGAAGACCCTGGGTTCAATCCCCAGTATCAGAAAGAAAGAAGTATCAAGAGGGACTGTGAGGGTCTCCTGCTTAGTATCATCCTGCGCTGCCCACATTCTCAGAGAAGGAATTAATGTGACTCGTCTTCCTGTGTCTCAGCCCGCTCTCAGAAGACTTCAGGCATTGGACGTCTGATGGTGCATGTCATTGAAGCAACAGAGTTAAAAGCCTGCAAACCAAATGGTAAGTGCCTACATCAGCAGATGGGGTAATGTCCCACACTTTGCTGGTGACCCTTCTGAACGCTGGATGATGGGATGCTTTCTAAAAGTCAGTGTTTCTGGTGCCACTAACACAGTGGCAAGCTGTTTTATTAGATCAGTATTGTCTCTCTGGTTCCCCATGGAGTACTAGTACCTGCCTTCCTGAGTGCTTCTGCTTAGCAAAGCACTGAGCAGCTTGCACTGGCACTTGCCTGGCTCATGGGGTGGGGGAAGTCCTAGAGTCAGAGCTCACAGTTGCTCCCAGAGTTGCACAGGCCATACTGCCCCACTGCAAGCGAACGTGGCTCCTGCTGCCATGGCCCCTAGTGAAGCAACATGGTGGATCCTGCTTCCGCTCAAGGATGGCCCTTTTAGTCATTCATTTTTCCTACTGTGCTTTGTATCTGTGGTTTGTTTCTGCTCAGGAAAGAGCAATCCATACTGTGAAGTCAGCATGGGCTCCCAGAGCTACACCACCAGAACCCTCCAGGACACTCTAAACCCCAAATGGAATTTCAACTGCCAATTCTTTATCAAGGATCTGTACCAAGATGTGCTGTGTCTCACCATGTTTGACCGAGACCAGTTTTCTCCAGATGGTAAGTATAGCTTGGGTAGGAGTCTTAAAGGGGGTTCCCAGTTGACTAGAATCTATGGTCTGGATCCAGGGTGCTTGGCTCCTGTGTACCCTGTGCCACCTACAGGAAGTAGAACAGAGCAGTTGGTGCCATTCCCTGGGGAGGGAACAGCCTTAGATGTATTTCAGATCTTTGACCCCAGTCACGATGCACACTGCTGAGAGAATAGAACACTCATCTCAGAAAAAGAGACTGGAAGTCCACGGAGGCAGCTGTGCTGAGGCAAATCTGTTGTCATTGTGCACACATCTACTCACAGACCAGCCACCCATAAGCCAGAAGCTACTTGCTTTAGATTTCAACATTGTCTTAGTTACTTTTCCTGCTGCTAAGACAAAATACCCAACACCCAAAGTTAAAGGAGGAGAAGTTTATTGTAGCTCGCAGTAGAGGTTTCGGTCCATAATTGGCTGGCTCCAAGGCAGGGTGGCATGGCAGAGGGGCATCGCAAAGGAGAAAGTTCATGGCAGAAGGCAGCAAGCAGTGAAGTAGCAAATGCCAACAACAGCCCTCTTTCTGTTCTTTAAATTCTAACCAGGCTACCCACCCTTAGGGCAGGCAGCACTCACACCCGGGGTGGGGCCCCCCTAGTCCTAGCATTGCACCGTGAATCCCAGCATCACATCCTTAATCCCAGCATCACATACTGTGGATCCAGCTACTTCTGAAAAGCCCCACCTGTGACCACATAAGACTTTGGGAGGGGCTGGGGATTTAGCTCAGTGGCACAGCGCCTGCCTGGCAAGCACAAGGTCGTGAGTTCAATTCCCAGTACCGAAGAAAAACAAAAAAACAAAAACAAAAACACATAAGGCTTTGGGGGACATCTAGATACAAGTCATAACATGTTTTATGAATCCTGTTTCATACATTGTTCCAGAGGTAGTTTTTAAATAACTTTATAAAAAACAAAGACTTTTGACTCTTACATAATGTTTGTTTGCCAGATTTCCTGGGTCGTACTGAAATTCCATTGGCAAAAATCCGAACAGAACAAGAAAGCAAAGGCCCTACCACCCGCCGACTCCTGCTGCATGAGGTCGCCACCGGGGAGGTCTGGGTGAGATTTGACCTGCAGCTTTTTGAACAAAAAACTCTCCCATAGGGAACTTGAGGACAGCACCAGAGGATCTGCCCCCAGGGCTGGGGCTGGAGAGTCTCTCCTGGGGCTGAGAGCATCATGGGCTTCATCCATCACAAAGCCACACATGCCAAGCCTGTATTTTATTGCACACTAAATCGCTAGCAATCTATGCAAACATGACCTTTCCTATAAGTAAACCCCACAGCGCAGTGCCTTGTACTAGTGTTAACAGTTCCGCTGGGTTTCGATGCCAGGTTTCCATTTTCAGGGCTATAAAAGTATTATGTGGAAATGAGGCATCAGACCACCAGACGTTACCGCTTGGCAAATGTGTCCACTGTGGAGTGGCTTGGTGACGCTGGAACCCTCCCACACCACGTGACCTCTACCGGTCACAGCACTCAGGAGGCAAAGGGTCAGGATGAAACGCTGCGGCGTGGTGCTCGCGCAGCCTGATGGTGAATAGCATCTACTTGTGCACTGAAAACAACCAGAAACTTGATCACTTTATTCCTGACTAGGTTTTATCATTCTCTGCTAAGACAATATAGTTTTAAATACAAGGGGAAAAGCTTGATGTACTTTAAATACTGTGAACTCTAATAATGTGGGAAATATTTTTCAACTTTAATTTTCTGAACTATAAATTATTTATGTAAATTCCTTGTTTTGCATACTTCATAGGACATGCATCTGGAAGCTTTATCATTGCCAATATGTACAGAAAGAGAATAAAACTATAAGTTTATGAATGTAACTTCTTTCAAAGCTTGACTTACTTTCTTTCTGAAAGGTTCTTAAAAGGTCATGTCAGAGGTTGCTATAGTGAAACCAAGTGTCCTTTCTGTAGAGTGGGAAGGACCCGGGCGAGCGTGGGGAGTAGCCACAAACCCAGGCTGCAGCCCAGCTCTGCCACTACTTGTGCTGTGGCTTTGGGGTATCTCCGTCCTGCTCCTGGGGCTCTGCTTCTCCAGTGGCCAGAATGGGTGACTGCCATGGGCATCACACCCGGTGCTCTTGAGTCCCTGTTGGCTGAGTGGAGTAGAAATCTCAGGAGTCACTCAGGATACTAAGGATCGGGGCTGCTCAGCAGGTCCTTCACCCTCCAGCTGCAGAAGCCCCGACTTTCCTGCTGTCCCCAGACCCATGAGTCACACCCGTACCCCACTCAGCCGCTTGTTTGACTCCTGAGTTTTGGAATATGTTTTGTTTTGTTTTTTGAGACAGGGTCTCATTAGGTAGCTCAGGCTGGTCCTGACCTCACTATGTGGCCCATCTGATGCCCTTAGCAGGTGTGAATGAAAGTGCACCCTGGGACACCACCTTGAGCCCCTCTCAGTGGCAGCAATTGGGGAATAATAGTGCCTTCTTGTGGTTTCATCTCTTCAACGAATACAAAACACTTCACAGTTCTTGGTTTGCAACCAAGTTCACTGAACAATACATGGTATTATTGGGATATTTCTTGCGATGGCTATCCAGTTCTGGAGAGAGAAAACACATTCACAGTGTTTTAATTGTTGTAAGACTTTGCAGACTGAAGTTGACTACAGTAAAAAATTGATGGTGACCTGGCCACCTCCTGCAGGGACACTAGGTGCTTCCCCAGGACCTCCGCTGTCATCGCTCTTCTTTCCACAGGTGGCGGCCCCCGCCTCTGTCGGTGATCCCCAGCTGCCCATGATCGGGGTCTCTGCTGTTGGGCCCCTAAAACCTGTGGGCAGGAGAAAGGACTGAGGGAGCTGTAGGGACAAGGAGGCTCACAGGAGCAGGGGACCCTACAGACCCTCCACATGCAGGCCTCTTCATGAGCTGGGACCCCCTTTCAGCAGGTTCCCAGCCAGCTGTCCTGCTCCACTTCCTTCCCCCTCTTCCTGATTTCTGCAACTCTCCCCTGAGATTTTCCTGTCTTCAACTCCATATACCTGTTCCTGGGGGGGCAGAGAGGACTAGCCGTCCCCAAAGTGTTCCCCTGCCATGTGTTCAAGCAGACAGGAACTACTTTTCCCTGGCATCCTACAGTCAAGGACTCAGTGACTGAGTCCTGGCCCACAGGACCCCAGAGGCAATAACACACACCACCTCTGGGCCGGGCCTGCACACAGGAGGGAAGGACTCATCCGGGGTCACTTTCCTTCCCCATTATGAGGAATGAGTTCCTGGAAAGCCAGGCATTGAAAGTGGCAAAGGCCAGCAGACAGGCCTGAAGGAGCCTTCCCAGTACTGGCCTGTGAGCAAAAGTAAACCTCTACTGGGTTAAAGCCATTATCTACTTTGTGTTGACAGCAGGGAGCTTTCCCTATCGCAGCCGCAGTAACCCAGTCACATTAAGATCAGAAATAAACAAGTGGGGCTGCATCAAATGAGAAACCTTCTGCACAGCAAAGAAAACAAAAAAAATGAAAAGACAGCCTACAGTCATCAT